GGGAGGGGAGCTGTTGCATTGTGGTAAACTGTGGTCAGTGACATGAGACAAAGTATATGTGAACTGCTGTATGGACAGTGAATTTGCTCTGTAAATCTTCATCCAAATCACAATAAAAAATAAATAAATAAATAAAATACTCCAGCAAGGTGGAACAAAGGCTGGAGAAGTGGCATAGAGATGCAATAAGATTAGCCAAATTCTGATACTTACTGAGTCTGATGAGTCCGAACTTTGGGGAGAGGGAGGTTGTTCATAATACAATTTTCCTTTTTTTTATATTTGAAGTTTTTCATAGTAAAGACAGAATGAAAATCAAATTTAGTATCTGCCTGTCTCATTGCAAGATTCTAGAATATATAAAATTTTGTGAAGACTGGAATGGAAATCTAACTTTAAAAATTATTGATGTAAAGTTCCTGAAGTACTGGAGAATTATTTGTAATCTGATTTGAAATCATAGACGTTTTTTCCTATTTTACTGGCACTGCCAATAAAACTATTTATTAAGAAGGAATGGTGCACTGAGATACAACACAAGAGATCACGAAGAAGTGAAGATATGTAGGATGTCAATATAAAATATTCATTTAAGGTGGCAGAGGAGAGAAAAAAGAATCTAACAGAGTAGGAAAGCAATTACCCCCCTTGAACAAGATTTCAAAGCAAATCAATGGAAAAACAAAGAGACTGAAAATAGCATAATCATGAATGGAGAGAAAGAAGAGTCATAAGTAGTTACACAGAGATATACTTCTAAACAATGATATTAATAAAAGTAAAAGCTTGATAAGTTTTATAGCTCTATTTATCAGGGATACTTCAGAGAATAGTAACTAATTATAGGAAACCAAAGCCACCAGCATTGAGTCAGTTCCAACTCAGCGATACCCATTGAGTTTCATCTTCCTTCCACTGATTGGCTGGTGGGTTTGACCGGCCAACCTTCTGGTTAGCAGTTCAATGCCTTAGGCACTGCATCGTCAAGAGTTCCTTAACATACTACATAACAGGCCTATAGACAGTTTAGTTGGAAGTGACTGGAACATTCAAATTAATTTCTAAAAACCAAGTACACTCAAGAGTCTAATTTGACACAATAGACAACTTCAGGATACACTCAGCATTGTTCAAAGCGCTTTTGAAAAATAATAATCGGATGTAATAGTATAAGGCAGGTTGCTCAGAAGAAAAGACAGGGTAAAATTTCAAGGCCTTCACACTTTAGAGTCAATGAGAAAGGAACATACTATTAATGAGATATGCATAAGCTGAGAAAATTTAGCGTTGTTAATTACAGGAAAGCCTGAGAAAAAATGGAAAACTGGAGGAATCTGAGACTAGACATAGTGAGCATTCTGAGAATGTGGATTCATATATTAAAAAGAGGAAAACTTAGGGTTTAGACTATATTTGTCATAAAATAACTTTTTATCTTATAAATATGCAAATCCTTATACCAACTAACAAAAACTGAACATCAATTTAAAACCAATCAATCCTATAAAAAGTTAGCTTCTCGTTATGTACCTTTTCTTTCTTCACTTTGCCTTTTTATTAGAGTGAAACAGGAAAGCATTATGTCAAAAGAAAGGCAAGAACAGCTCAGCCCATAAAAACGTTATTCAAAGGGTCTAGATTCCAAAGCATCCTTAACAAAATGAAGCTGTTAGACACAACTGAATGAAGTATGCAGAAGGCTTAAATTAGAAAGTCAAGAGAAGAGTCAAGGCCATCTCACTGAAATACAGACTAAAGGATAAAAACAGGCTTAGTTTTGGAAAGTGAAGGGATCTGAGAAATAGAGCATCATGTGATTATAAGTGGGTAGGAAAAACATTTTAGATAACAGTATGTAAGATATAATAGAGGAAAGGCGAAAGCTAGCATCCAAGGGTCTCCAATCCACCTATTAAACTGTACTAAAGTGATTTTCAAGCCTTATCCCATAGAATTCCCAGTAAATCATGGCCAAAATAGGCAGAAGAACCTCTTGAAGGGGTTGCAGAGCTGTATCCTGCCTCACCTGGATGTAGGAGAAAGGACAGGTGAAATGGCACTGTCTAGACCAAGCTGGTGATGACATACTCTTTACAGGGTTGGGTGAAAATAGAACAGACCCCCTGGGATCTGTGTAACCCAAAAAGAGGTAGCTCCATTAGCACCTGTTTATGGTCCCTGTGTCACTGAGTTGAAAATAACTCTTGGGAGAAATAGGGAGAAAAAAAAAAAAAGATGACAGCCATCTTTATTCTTCCTTCTATATCTAGGTGTTTTTTCGTTTTTTTTTTCTTCCTAATAGTAACAGTTGCTGCTGATCTTTGCACTGTCTTCTTCATTTCCCAGGCTGAATTCAGCTAAGTTTGGGATAAAAATGACTATTAAACTGATCTATTATTTTATCACCAATCATGCCCTAACTAAAAGAGAAATCAGTAGAGCAGCTTAGATATTAGGAAATCTTAGGGAAAAAAGCAATGATAAAAAGAATAAACTTTGTCGAAATTATGTAATACACATTTCATTAACTTAATAGAAATTGTTGTTGTGTGCTGTTGATTCTGACTCATATAGCAACCCTATATGACATAGTTCTGGTAGCGTAGTGCCTAAGGCACTTGACAGCTAACCAGAAGGCTGGTGGTTCAAACCTACCAGTCACTCCTTGGAAGAAAAGCTATTTCCATATTGATACCACCTCCGAAACCCAAGGAGGGGTTGCTATGAGTCAGGTCCAACTTGACAGCACATAACAACAACGACAACAACATATGACAGAGTAGAACTGCCCCACTGGGTTTCCTAGGCTGTAATCTTTACAGGAGCACATCTCCAGGTCTTTTCTCCTGTGGAGGGTCTGGCAGTTTGAAATCCTCAACCTTTAAGTTAGCAGCCAAGCACTTGACCATTGTGCCACCAGGGCTCCTTTCATAGAAACTAATATACTAGAATTCCAAACATAAGAAAGTCACAAAGGAAACACAGTCACACTAGAGTCTGCAAAACAGTGACTTTGTACATTCAAGGCTATGTACCATTTTGTCCTTCCTATTTCCACTAACTACAATGTGCAACTTCCTTTGCTCTATGTTAATACTAAACTCTAGATATAAATGTTCCACAAATACCAAACTTTCCAGAGCTTAATAATTTTAATGTGCTAATAGTTTCTACTTAATTTTTATTCAGATCAAACATTTAAATATCATAAATACCAAATATCAGAGTATGTCATTAACCTGAAAATACAAAGATAAACACAAACTAGCAACAATGTATTCAGGGTTTCCCATCACAGAACTGATGCCAGAAAAAATTAGTTGACTTTATAGAAAAAAATTAGGGACCAAAGTAGTAAAATGGACCTCAAAAATGATGACAAGGCCATAGAGAGGTATTTTATGAAACAGAAATTAACAAGAATCAACAGATAACAAATAGGACTATTTCTAATCCATTTTGAATTGTGATATGAAGATAGCTTGCTAAGTGCTAAATAAGTTAAAACATATTTAACATCCAAAGACACACATTTATAAACAAAGCAGAAACAACTTAGAGGTATTTATGCTTGGCTGTTCCCCCCAAAAAGAATTTTATAGAAAAACTCCCCAACTGACTTTTGACAACAATTTCTAAAGAAAAAGAATGTTTCTGCTAATTCACTCTCTCTCATCTTGACTCTGAAAAGGAATTCCCAAAGTACAATTATTCTAAGCAATTACATGTTTATATTAATATTACCTACTGATAAAATTTCCAAGAGAAAAATGCTCAGCATGTTTATATCCAGCTGCCAACAGAATATCCACAATTAGTGATTTGAAAAGGTAATCAAATTTCAGAAAGATAACAGTACATCATAAGTTGTTTGGCGTATCAGAAAAAGCAACTTACCTTGTAATTTTTTCAATACAGCAACCTCCATTTTCAAGACTTGTTTTGGTTGTTGAGCTGATTCCACCTTCAGTGCAACATTTTCCCTGGTGAGCATGTCCAAGGCATCGTAAATTTCTCCAAAGCCCCCACCCCCAATCTTCCTTAACTGCACAGGAAATAAAATGAGAACAGACACAAAATTACTAGAAGGTTTTAGGAGGAAACCAATTTTTCCTATGTTTAGAAAATAATGTATAATTTTACTATTTCTATTTTATGAGAAAAGACTTTAATAAACTTTGGTTATTAGATGCTGTTGAGTCTATTTTCAACTCATAGCACCCCATGTGACAGAGGAGAACTGCCCCATTGGGTTTCCTAGGCTATAATCTTTAGTCAAGCAGCTTACTAGGTCTCTCTCTCACATTATTAAACTATATATATTCCAAGAAGAAAACAAATGCATGGAAATAACATCAAAACTTTTTCCCACAGGTTTATCTACAAAAAAATAATAAAATTATTGCAGCCACAAACAATTTAAAAATTTGATCTACAGCCAGTATTGTAATGCCACTTAAAAAAAAAAAAATACAGTAGCTGAAAGCATCTCTGCCCATAAATACCACTGAACAACCAGATTTGTTGTTTCAGTTCTAAGCCAGTAACTTGCAGACTTTTTTCAGCCATGAGATCTTTTCACCAATTAAAATTTTATCTGGAACCAATCTGGTGAGGATATGTATGGGGGTGGGGTTGGGCAGCCACAGGCCATACCTCTCAACACTGTTTACCCTCCTTTCTGAGGCATCCAAAGAGCTCTGGTGGTGTAGTAGGTAAGGCATTTGGCTGTTAACCAGAAGGTCGGTTATTCAAAGCCACCAGTTGCTCCACAGGAGGAAAATGAGACAATCTACTTTTGTAAAGATTTATAGCCTTGGAAATTAAATGGGGATGACTATGAGTTGAAACTGATTTGATGGCAGTGGTTCCTGAGGCATCCAACAGGCTTCACATAGCAGGCTGAAAGCTCCTGTTTCAAACTACCCCAGAGTTCACTATGTATCTCCATACTGAAATAAAAGTAAACTAATCAATTTAAGTACTTTCAACAAACAATATTCTTCCTTACAAAATAAATGTGTTAGATGAGCTGGGGAACATTAATATCCTTGTCTGAGTATTATAAGCAAGTTCTAAAGAGCTAGTGATAACTGGACCTGTAGCACTCTGAAAAGCTGGGATTGGGAGGGTAATAGCTTCAAGGTAGATACACGAAAAGTTAGCCTTCTTCCATTTCCTAAAACTAGGTCTCCTCCTTACCACATTATCAAACATCCAGGAGGTGATATAACATAGAAAGGCATCACTAGACGCACAGGGTTCTAAATCCTAACCACCCCAAGAGGTTCTAGATCAAGTCCCACTTCTTCCACTGAGTCTGTACTGACTGGTACATCTAGGCTGATTTCTTTATCATCTGAATTTCATGGGAATTTTTTTGCTTAATCATTCATGATTTTCTTAAGTCAAATACCTCAGACAGCACTTGTATTAACATACTTTATTGCTTCTCAACTCTTATGTGCTATTTAACTTTCTACTGTCAATGTCATATCCCTATAGTGAAACTAATTTTGTTCAAAGAGAAGGCTACTTGTTCTCTTTCTTTGTGTCCCCCACAGCATTTGGGAACACAGTAAGTATGTAATTATTGCTTAATAACTATTTATCACTTTATATATATGGGCCATAAAGAGCTCTGGTGGTGCAGTGGTTAAAGCATTTGGCTGCTAACCAAGAAGTCAGTGGTTGAAACCCACCAGCTGCTCCCTCCATGGAGGAAAGATGAGGCACTCTGCTTCCATAAAGATCTATAGTTTTGGAAACCCAATGGGGGGGTTGCTATGAATTGGAATCAATTTGGTGGTAGTGAGTTTGGTTTTTTATATGTATGAGCCATAATCTTTATTTTGGTTTGGTGACAGGAAGACATCATGAGAAACCACAGGGAAGATTTAGGATTTAAAAAAAGAAAAAAACTTCCACTACTATTCAGCTAACTAAATTGTTCTTTGTTAGGTGATGAATTTATAATTCCTTATACTTTGTTCATTAAACAGGGCTTCATTTAACTTAAAAACCTCATAAACAGTACCAAGGAGACATCTTTATCAAATGACAGAATGAAAAACTCAGCTGACATAAATGTTTTTGCTCCTTAGTCTATACCTTTAATGTCATCTGGTCATTAGTAGAGCATCAATTTATTTTACTGAGCTTTTATTAAGTTTGACAAAGCCCTAAGAAATCATCAATGCTTATGAAGCAAAGACACAGACATGATTTAGTGTGATAAGGGAATGCAGATTAGGGGAAAAACAGAGGTAAAGTTGTTATCATTTGTGGCAGATTTCATTTTCCCAAAATACCTATCATCTATCCAAAGATATCTTTCCAAAGATATCTCCCATTCATCTTGTTCTTCTGCGATATGACCTTGTCACTTGCCCACTAAGAAGTAAAGTCCATTTCCTCACCCCTTTGAATCTCAGGGAACCTTGTCACTGCTTTGATCAACAGAATATGGCAAAGTGACACTGCTGGTTCGAGGATAGCCCTTAACTAGCCTAGGAGCTTCAGTTTCCTGTCTCTGAAAATCAGCTGCCATGTAAGAAGTGTCACCACCCTATGACCATCATGTTGTAAGAAGCTGCAACTATGTAGAGAAGCCCTAGGAAATGAACTGTCAAGTTGGGGGGGATGTGGCTAAGGGAGCCTCAAGGCACCAAACAAGTAAGCAAAGAAGCCATCTTGGAAATGGATCCTCCAACTCAACTACCTGGCAAAGAAACCAAGCGCCCAGACAAGCTTTTCTCAAATTCTTAATCCAAAAAATTATAAGAAAAACAAAATGATTGTTTTAAGACCCCAAGTTGTTGGTGTTATGTTTATATAATAATATATAACTAAAATATCAGCCTTAAAAATAAGCCTGTGATTTCTTATTAAAAATACCACTATGTCGCCAAAAATTAGGGGTTAAGTTCCACACATATATTAGCTCTAATTATCAGGATAAAGGAATCATAACAGACAGAATAGCTTTTATTTCTTACCTTTAAATATGATGACTACTGGAAAACAGCCAACCTTTTATTACAGAACTCAGTATACAGTACTGTAACCAGAACTTGGTTATAGTACAATGCTATAACCAAAGCAACATTCATGCCTGACTCCCATAAAAGGTTATCAACTGTTAGAATCTTCCTGCAATAGTCCTTGATGATAACAAGGGTCTGTTCTTATTATTTGGTTAAATAAATGTTTAAAGCCTACTGATTTACCTACTCAGTACAACACACTGTACCACAGAAACAAAATTTTTACTTCTAAAAGAAGAATCTTCTTTTTCCAGGCTGTGACAGATTAAGGAAATCACTAAAATACCTTTGCAAAACTTGCTACTGGAACAGTGTTTTGTTTAACAAATGATTGGGTAGCAATAAAAAATAGTAATCATTAATGTGACCATCAATAAGGATAATAATTTCAAGGAACTGAAACATATCATATATGTTTAAATCTATGAATTTTTAGTTATACTTTTAAAAAAAAAAAGGAAAAATATTGGTCATTTTTGGAGGATGCTAAGGAAACATTATTTTGAAAACTAGTAAATTAAGGAAAAGAATCAAACATTTATCCTGTTTCCCTAATCAAACTGTATCTCAGGGTAACCATATAGTTAGTGATGGGAAATATCTCTTTATAGATGAAAAGAAATGAAGACTCAACTAATAAATAAAGGAGTGACAAACAGCAATTTGCAATCACTAATGAATTCATAGACATAGATAATGATCATCATCAGTGGCTGCTAACACCACAAAAAAGAGACTTAATCAGACATATGTTTTCTAATGAAAATTCACAGTATACTTTATGAAAGAAAATGTATATATAAATATCTCTATATCTATCCACCCACTTCAAGAAGCAAACCTGAACTCAGAACTATTCATACCTCCAGATGTAACTACCACTCTATATAAAATATATGAAACAGAGAAACATGTTAACATCACACAGAAGCAAACAGTAAAATCTAAATGATGAGAAATTCCACAGGCAAATGACGTTTAGTAAGCTATAAGAGAAAAGAAGAGGAACCTAAATTAAAAAAAAAAAAAAAATTAATGTTTCTGAAGATCCAGACTTTATGTGGACCTTGATTCAAACCATCAGCAATAATAATTTACAAAACAATTGTGAAAATTGATGGAATAATTAATGATACTAAGAAATTATTGCCTTTTTTAGATGTAATAACAGTACTATATCTTTAAAAGAAGTTATCTTTTAGAGATATATACTGAAATATGTACAGAAGAAAATGTAAAAGGAGATTTACTTAAAAATAAGCTGGCAGGGAAGTGACAGAGATGAAATAAGATTGACCATATATTAATGACTGTTTAAACTGTGTCATGAGTACATGGAAGTTCATTTTATCAGTCTCTATACTATTATGGGAGCACTGGTAGCATAGTGCCTAAAACATTTTGACTGGTAACCAGAAGGCTGATGGTTCAAACCCACCAGCCATTCCTAGGAACGAGATGGGGCAATCTACTTCCATAGTGATACTGCCTCGGAAATCCAAGGAGGGGTCGCTATGAGTCAGATCTGACTCCGTGGCAGTGAGTTTGGTTTGATATACCATTATAAGGAGCTCTGGTGGCATAGTGCCTAAGGCATCTGACTGCTAACCAGAAGGCTGGTGGTTCAAACCTCTTGCCACTCTTCGGAAGGAAGAAAGGGCACTCTACTTCTGTAAAGATTTACCGCCTTGGAAAGCCAATGGGGGTTGCTATGAGTCAGAATTGACTCAATAGCAGTGGGTTTGTTTTGGGTTTTTGGGGCATAGTGGATAAGGCTGCTAACCAAAAGGTCAGTAGTTCAAACCCACCAGTGCTCCGTGGAAGGAAGAAAGAGTGATCTACTTCCGTAAAGATTTAAAGCCTCAGAAAGCCATTGGGGGTGGTTCCTATAAGTAGGAATCAACTCGATGGCAGTGAGATTTTTTTATTGTTGTTTTACTCAATATTAGCTTTGAGAAATTAAGAAAATTTAGTACTATATGAAGTAACAGTAAGAATTATGGCACAAACAGAACTTAATCAAAGAAAAATAACTAGAAATAATTGCTTTATCCATACAAGCAATGTATATAGTATTTTATCAGAATATCAACAATTACCCCCTTCATACGTACACACATACACACACACACAAACCGTGAGATGCATACTCACCACTTTCCATCTTTCTTTGACCAGGATTCCAACACTGAGAATATCTGGCTGCTCTCCTCCCCCACTCATTGCAATTCACTGATACAGTAGAACAGCTATACAGGCATCCAGCTCCCAAGGGTGGTTTCCATTTAAACTAAAACGTAAGAAACAAGAGCAGCATATCAGGACTACCAAATTAACACAAATGATATTCTCGCACCAAGTAGCACTACTCATCACACATACTAAATAAACTGCACTACTACATTGGGATTCAAAAAACAATACAAACTCAGTTCCAAGAATTGTTTAGTGGATGTAAAAGACAGTATTCATTAAAAACAAACAAACAAAAAATGTAGTATTTATCTTACTGTTATAGACACCCAGCAAAAAAGCTATACATCACAAAAGACATTAGGTTAAAACACAGATATTATTACAAAAATTGAGATTGCTAGATTATGGGGCAAGGTGTCAGTAATGCCCCACCCAGACTACTATCCTAACTACAACATATTGCTAAAGAGAAAGACACAGTACTTAATTTAGAGCAGCTTACAGTTTAATAGGTAATATTTTAATATTACAGAATCCACGAAAAAGATGTAGGAAATAACCAAGAGATGCAGAAAAGGATTCTGATCAAACCAAACACAACACTGTCAGAAGAAGTAGATAATAAATGGATAGACTATCTGCAGAAAACAAAGATAAATCAGAAAAAACATGGCCTAAAGTAGACAAAAACTGTAACTGTAACTTCCTTCCATGGAGCCCCTGGTAGATTTGAACCTCCAATCTTCTGGTTAGTAGTCAAATGCCTTAGGCACTGCTCCACCAGAGCTCCTTCCAAAGTCTATTAGCCTGCAAAATCAGTGATTGACCACATCTGGCCTGCAGAGGGTTGTCTGCTAACCCCTGCTCAACAGAAAGGAGGAAAGAGGATGGAAGGGATAAGACTGGAAGCCACATTTTTGTTAATGTATAAGGAGTCCTGGTGGTACAGTGGTTAAGCACTCAGCTGTTAACCAAGAAGTTGATGGTTCAAACCCACTAGCCGCTCTATGGGTGAAAAATGAGGCAAACTGCTTCTAATTTACAGCCTTGGAAAGTCTATGGGGTAGTTTTACTTTTTCCTATAGAGTCGTTATGAGTCATATTCAACTTGATGGCAGTGGGTTTGGTTACTGGTTTCCAGGGTCACTATTTATAGGACCATCTGCCTGTTTGTTGTACTCTGGTGGCATGTGTGCTGCTGTCAGGCTGGAGGCTATGCCACTGGTATTTCGAATACCAGCAGGGGTCACACATGGTAGACAGGTTTCAGCAGAGCTTCCAGAGGAAAACTGGGAAGAAGGAAGGGGCCATCCACTTCTGAAAAAACTGGCCACTGAAACTTTTATTAATAGCACTAAAACACTATTTGATATATACTGGAATGCTTTATGAACAGCAGTGAAACATTGCCTGATAGAGTGCCAGAAGATGAGTCCTTCAGGTTGGTTGTTGTTGTTGCATGTTATGCAAAACGCTAATTGTTTTTTAGCTATAGCAAGAGTAACCATCACAATTAATTTTAACCTCATCACAGCCTATCAACGACAGCTTTAAATGAGTGACTACATATCAGGAAGTCAACCAATCAATAAGAGCAAAACTCCATTATCATATTTCCATAGTGAAAGGTTAATTTCTAAACATTCCCACTTTATCAATCCCTGAATTTCATGCTTCCCAGTATAAAATCAGTAATTTCTTTCATTCAGGGAAACTCTGTCCTAAAATCACAAGTCTCCCTTGTATAGCGAGCAATAAATTTAGCATTTTGTTAAAGATATTCAGTGGTTGCCTCTTCCTTTAATACATACTTGAAAAAAAAATGAAATTAAAAAAAAAAGAAACACTAAAAATGAAGGGGAGGCAATTCATAAATATTTTAAAAACTAAAACCAATAACCTAGTAATAGAAAGGTTCAGCAAAGTGGTAGGATACAGGGTCAACATACAAAAATCTATTGGATTCCTCTATACCAACAAAGAGGCCTCTGAAAAGGAAATAAGGAAAGAAATACCATTTATAATAGCTACCAGAAAGATAAAATATTTAGGAATGAATCTTACCAGAGACACAAGAGACCTATAGAAAGAAAACTATAAAACACTACTGTGAGAAACTACAAGGGATCTACATAAATGGAAGAATATTCCTTGTTCATGGATAGGAAGACTGAATATTGTGAAAATGTCAAATATTATCCAAAGCAATCTACATATTCAATGCAATCCCAATCCAGATTCCAAAAATACTTTTTAAGGACATGGACAAACCAATCATTAATTTCATATGGAAAAGAAAGAGACCTTGGATAAGCAAAGCACTACTGAAGAAGAAAAACAAAGTAGGAGATCTCATACTCCTGGATCTCAAAACCTAGGAAGTCTCACACTCCTGGATCTCAAAACCTACTATACAGCCACAGTAGTTAAAACAGCATGCTACTGGTGCAATGATAGACAGACAGACCAACAGAACAGAATCGAAAACCCAGAAATAGATCCCTCCCCATCTATGGACAGCTAATATTTCACAAAGGACCAAAACCCATTAAATAGGGGAGAGATAACCTCTTTAAAAAATGGTGCTGCTCCAACAGCATATCAAGAAAATCATTCATCATGACCAAGTGGGGTTCATACCAGGTATGCAGGGATGGTTCAACATTAGAAAAACAATCAATG